GCGCAGAAAATCAACGTTCTGTTTTCTGATTGGCCTGGCTAAAAATCTGCCAGTGAAATCCTTGTCTATGGGAGAAATGCCAGACGGAGCAGAGAGGGGAAACTAGAATTCAGTGGAACTGTGTTGGAAGACAAGCGCCAGGCCAGGAAAACCCAGCTGGCTGATTTAAAAACAAATGTCCAGCAGAACATGCCATTGATGAGACAGGTTCTGCTGCTTGGATCAGTCTCCTCCCTGAGAAGTTCAGCTGGACTTTCCTTTTGTTAGAATTGTTCCAAACCAACAAGCTGGTTTTATCTTTTTGCGTTGTTTTTAGCACAATGATTAAAAATGACCAGCTGGATCTGACTGAGTTGGTCAGGATCTTGTGTTTGATATTAACTCACTTGGTGTGATCCTGATTTGATTCCAGTCTTCATGATGTGATGTGTTCAAATTAAAGTGGAATAACTGAGTTCGGAGTTGACATCAAGTCGTTTCTCTTGTTAGGACTCCTGAACCTCCCTTTGAACCTGGAGAAAGATTCTTCCCTCCCCTCCTGTGTCTGAGGCCTGGGGGGTCATTTAGAGCCAGGACAGCTAGTTCCATGTCATCAGAGGGTTGTTTTTAAGAAAGAAATGTGAAAACATTGAACTTGCACTCAAATGCTCAATAGCCCAGCCTGTGTGAGGACCGCTGGCTGTTTGTCTGTGCTCTGTGATACTATGGCTGATAAGGTACTAGATATTGATCCCGATCAGAACAATACTTCAAAAACCACCAGACTATCAAGTTAATATTGTAGAATGTCCTCAAACATAAATAACAAAACTTTCAGATTTGGTTTAAGTTGGATTTTCATTGTTTTATTGCAAATACATAGAAAGATTGTTTTAAACATGAAGTGTTACATGGAAGGATGTTACAGAGAGATGGTACCATTAGGATCCAGATGAAGCTTCCTGCTGCTCAAACAGCTGCACACATCTGTCAAACTCACACAGTGACCACTGCTTTTATCTTTTACTTTATTTGGACCCTCAGACAACAAAAAGACACATATATTCTTAAAATACAGATAAGATAAATAAAGGAACAAAATAAGGACAAATACAACATTTTTTGTTGATAATCTTACCATAAAAAGAGGGAGTGGGTACACTGCAAGAACATTAGGTATACAAAAAGTACGCAAAATATTTACTTTGAAATAAAGTTAACACTGAAAAATAAATAAATAAAGTGTTAAAGTAGATAGGAGACCAGCATAATGGAAGACTGCAGACAGACGGTGTGTGTGTGTGTGTGTGTGTGTGTGTGTGTGTGTGTGTGT